TACATATTAAAAACTTAAAACAATACAAACAACAACAACAAACAAACAACAACACAACAACACACTACACACACACACACATATATATATATATACACACACACACCACCACCACCACCACCACACCACACACACACACACACGCACACACACACACACACACACACACACATGTATATATATATATATATATATTATGAACACCCCTCAATACGAAGACTTAATAACCAAGGGTGCACACGTTCTGTGTTGACACGCACATACATCACCAGAGCATTAAACTATGACTCACCTGAAATCATCGTCGCTATCACTAGAGTCGAATGCGTCAGGGTGCTGGTGCATGTTGCCTTCTGATGTCGGTATGATAGTCTGTGGTTGTATGGGCGTAGTATCTGACTTGCGTGTGTGGCTCTTTGCAGTTGCAGACGATAATGCAATGTTATTAAAAGCAATGGATGTACCTTTGTTCTGGTTAAGTCGGCGTGCGTAATTGCGTGCGATGCTCAGTGAGCCGCAGAGAGTACGCCGAGGAGAGGTACGTGACAACAGAATGGTTGCTGTGCAATATAAGGAGAATCTTAATTATATATTAATTAGTTATACATTCATTTAAATAAAGCTATTTGGTGGACAGGCGACAGCTGGGCGCGGATAAAGAAATAAACAGTTAGGGATTCGTCCCGTCTCCTGTCCCGTCTCCTGTGTGTAAATAAATAAGAAATAACAAATAAATAAGAAATAACTTGCGTGTTCTATTAGCGTTCCACAGCGTCCTAAAAAAGGACATCCGCGTCATACATAGCCACTGACCCAGCCTCCTAATCTATGTTCTATTAAATCGATTTAGATTTCAGGAGGCTCTCTGGTCTCAGGCTATGTCCGCGTCAGGTGTCCAGGACTCCAGGCGTCCACAGTCCACTCTCTCTCTACTACTAGTCAGTAGTCTTTACTACTGTAAGTCTGTGAGCTCAGGTCTCAGCTGGAGTGGGGGTCTGGGATTCCCGTCTAAATATAGATAAAGTGGTGACTGCGCATTGGTCATGTTCCGTGAGATGTCAACGTGTCAGTTGTCACTCACTGAGTGTAGTGTGGTGTCGTGTGCACATACCTTTTTTTTTAAAAAACCCCCCCGGGGTGGCCCGCCGGCGGGGTCTTGAGGGCGATTTTCAACCCTACATAATTTTTCTTGGTTCGTCAGAATTTTCTGAGATTTTAATGGTGCGCTCCAAATTCTGAGAGCTATCCAAAAATGCAATAAAAAGTTTTTCGCGAATTTGAGTGGTGTGGGGTCACGGCTGAGGTCACTATGAGGCCATAATCACCCATTTGGGCCGAAATGATCAAAATTTCTGGCCGTCAGAAATTCCTGAGGACAAATGTCCGAATGGTTCTTCAATCTTAACATGGGAAGTTCAAATCCGATGAGTTTAAGACTCTCAGAGTACAGTAGCACCATTATATAGGTCAATAGGGGCCATTTTGGGCTTATTGCAAACTCTGTCCAAAATCTGCGAGACTGCGAGGTCAACTTTCGAAATAAAGGTGCTACTAAAAATTGACCGCTCAAAACCGTCGAGAAATCCCGATTTGAGCCAATATTAGTGTTACATTAGTGTTGCCGTATATGATGAAGTAGGGTCTCCTCAACTCCTCAAGTCCCCGGTTCTTGCCCCATATGTAAATAACAGTCAAATAGTTTGTATGTATTTATAGCATCATGTAATAGGAGTCAGTCACAGTGCGGGCCTGTGGGACTTTGAAAGTGTCGCGTTTCTGTGGCTTTTGGCGGCATTTCTCTCTAGTTAGAATTTCAATAAAAAAATAAACCCCCTTGATCTTTCGCGTGTACCTTTAATTACAACATACGAGCAGGCGTTAGTGTGTGAAGAGATAGTACGTGTGGGCTCAGTGTGTGATAAAGCACATATTACGTGTGGGTTTAGAGAGGGTGTTAACTAGGATCACTCGACAGATGCAGTAGTTGAACACTATTTACGTAACATGCATAACAGTTGAATGCTGGTGTTTAGAGGTCCCATATTTTGTTACAGCTAAATATACGAGTTTACACGGAACCGTGTGCGCATGCAATACCGCTACTTTAAGCTCAGCCTTCACCATTGAATGTAAATAGTGATACCAAGTGATAGCAGCAGGCTGACAACCGAGTAGTATACACACTGTATTCAGCGCTATATACATTGCGAATATCTGATAGTAAAGTATAGTACTATTCGTGCAATACACCTGCATCAGCATGCCGTCAGTCACCGACAAACCACGGTCACTGAGTGTCAAGGGCGCTCTTCTGAACACCAAATTCGAAGGCTACAAAATCAACTTCCATCCCAGGGAGGAGCAGCAGATAGAGTTACCTTCTAACGTGTACACGTATACGGGAGATGCAGATACGGCTACGCACACAAACACGCACACAGTAGCCTTCTACAGGGATGTGGAGTTGTGGAATAACCTGTACAGGAATCCCTGGGTGGAGGATGCGGTCTATTATTTTGACTACGCAGGGGGGTTACAACAGGTGCTTGCTAAGGTGTGTATGTTGTGTGCGTACGTGTGGCTTTGTTACTGCAGGTTTAACCAAACAACAATACTTGACTCTGTAGTATCGGAGGGATTCGCAGGAACCAATATAGCTCGGAAATGGTGTTGTATAACAAGTCTGTATTGGTACATTCAATATAATACTCTAATTTGTATTGCTTTGTATACACACTCATGTCTAGTAAGGACATGGGAGGGTATGTTGGTATATGTGTACGACAAACAAAGGAAAACCCATTTGTATGTGGTCTGTTTAATACCGAGGGAGACGCATATTCCTCTTTGAGCTGCATACTTACTATACCATACGTGTACGTGTTCGTGTTCATTGAAGGTTCGGACAGATCGATGTGAGCTCTAGGAAGCAATGCGAATACCCTACGTACGGTATCTTTCATGCGTATCTGATTCATGTTAGTATAGTAAAAGGTTATATGGTCGACTGTTTAGTAATAAACAATCCTCGTGGTACCCTCCGGCACATCGACACCGGATTACAATCATACTCCGAGTACAGATAGCAGAGAAATTTAATCTACAGTTAACTCAGTGTGTTTGTCCCATACAACAGCAATCCACATCAAAACCCTTTACGATCTGCGTTGCAAACTCAAACGTGTTGGTGAATAGTGGTTTCTTGTACCTGAATTGTTGTACATAGCATGCTGCTATATCTATAATAATTGGCTTTATATCGGAACTGCTATGACAGTCTCCAAATTATGATGCGGAGTGCCTGCGAAGCCATTAAACAACAACACGCTCACTTCTAGAGTACACGAATTATTCTTTTGTGAATGATACGACATTTGTATAGAATACGCCAACACTTTGAACGTATCTGCACACTTAACGGAGGAGTCTGAATGCACATACACATATACACACCTCGCATATACACTATGCACTACACATACATAGATATGTAGAACTAGTGAACATAGACACAAGTCAGTTGTCCACACATACATCATTGCAGGGTAGTGTTTACAACAATGCATGTATCATTTGTGTATTTGTTTTTGTGCATATTCAGGCTATGTGGCATACTGTGGATGTTGGTGTATTTCACATACTCGTGCATCATATTTCGGGGCTGTGCATACTCAATGCTATTAATTCATCGCATATAATATGTGCTAGGAACGTTGCTTCGTGTCAGGTAGTCACCTGCTAGTACCCAATATTGTGAGCGCAGATAGATACGAATGGTATATCTTCAGTGTATGTGCCTTAATCTGCCCACAGTCTAATGATAGAACACTATCGTGCGCGTGCACACAGTTCACCGGCACAGGCATCATAAACGTATTGTAATGTGTCTCTTAGTCACTGTTGTTGTCTGCATCTATACAAACAACCGCAATGTCTATGAACTAAATATACTGGATTAATCTACTGATTAAATCTACTTGAAACTTCTACCTATCGATTCTACTGGCCACACATACGATTTATTGCCTATTGACATATATACCTTGTATCCCCCTCTTGTTCGTCTGGTGCCCGGTGTGCTCCAATATGGCACACACTCCGGGTTGCGTTTCTGCTTCCCAATGGTGTATTTATGCACATCCATAACCCTTCCACAAACCTCAAATGATGCCTTGCAAATCCAGGATTTTAATACATTTCACAACCTTTTGATCGTTTGCACAGAATCGATGTACTCTGCATATCTACAAGCATCCCAAACTGATTTATTTAGTATTTAATCTGAGTATCCCTCCTGCCTCTCTGTCACTCCTTCGACAGGCCAACGGCGAGCAGTGCAGACTCACAACACTCACACACCATGTGAGAGAACCAGAGGCTATTGCACGGTCATCTCTGATGTTCGTGTCGGCGAATATAGCTGTGTACACGCTCACAGACGCATGCGTGTACGTATGCTTTCTGCAAAATGGCGGAGAGGTATGTACTGATAAAAGTGACATCTGCTTTGTGTAAAATGAAATGTATAGGATCGCTTGTGTGTTGTGTTCGCATTATTCCTAAGATGGAGTTCTCTGTATTTATATGTGTATCAGATTAGTCAATGTACTAAAAAAAGGACCATGTTGAAATAGAACAGTCATACACTGCACGCATGGTAGTACATACACACATCTATATACATCCTCATACACATAGATATGCAATTATAAAGCTACAGTGGTAAAATTATGTATTGGTATCAGGTAGCTAAGATCGTTTCTACTACCCTTCCAGACTTGAACGTCTACTTCCCTACCTATAGCGCGCGTACTAGAATTACTTTAATATGACCACAAATTTGTTTCAATCCATCCGATATCACCTTACTGGTTCAACCATTTCTAAGCCACTCCTTCAATACATTTCACAGGCAGTTGTCTCGACCATTTCCATTCCAGCCAGTGACGCCTCAGCATCCATCAGAGTCGTTGATGCGTTACTCATAGACACAGTACTGCGTGTGGTAGTGCAGGAGATGACCACAGAGAAGACTGAGCCTGCCGCTACATCAGACACGACCGTAAGGTCAAGCACAAGCAGCAGCTATGGGTTGAGGGTAAATCTTTGGCCGTGTGTCGTTGCTGTGTTTCATAGAGCTTGACTTTTGTGATATCGGATAAGCGATGTATGCAACCGTCGCGCGATGATGCGTTTACATTGATTTCGGGTAAACTCTTAGAACTGTGCGACAGAATATACCTTCAGTAATCGTACAATAGCCATGGAAGTATAATCCAGAGAACAAATTTTTCACCCGGTAGCCAACCTTTGATGAGTTGCTTTGTATCGCAATGCAATGGCATATGTTTGCCATGTAATAGCAGAGTGTCATTGAATAGGGTTTCATGCGTACATATATGCTACACACACACACATGCATGCATGAGGTTATGTATAAGTACACGAATATCTGTATGTCTCGGAGTTGCAGCTTGTAACCTGCTCTCAACGTGTGGCTATGTGACTAGGCAATTTACCTTCACATAACAGATACTGCCGAATCAAGCGTTGCAAACATTGTAAACTTGTTTTCCGGTCACACGAACATACGTATTATGTTTTCCCGATTGTAGCTAGTCTCTAAACACCAGGTGTGCTTGTATGGACCAACTACAGCAATGTATTATTTGCAGAACCTGAACGCACCTATAACCACATGTTACAGATAGCTACCTTGGCCGTGGATGTGGCCAATCGCACATGCAGCGCACGAGCACTCTCTGCCATTATCAAAGGGTCGAAGCGTCCAGATTACGTCGCAATGACAGCCGATGCTACTGGTCTCTTGGTAGTATGCGAAGAACAGTTGAGTAGCGCTTCGACCGCGACGCTTGCGAACGATACCGTAGACGCTATGGAAGAAGGCAGGTTGCGCAAAATTATATTTACATATATCGTAGCACGAATGATATGGGTATGCAGACATACACAATGCTCGTTCAGCAAATTTGTCGCGCAAAACACTTACGAGAATAGTTGCACCTTTAATTACTTGCTGACATGATAGTTCTACTATGAATAGCGATATGTGTGGCGGCATTCAGAATTCAAACAGTGAATACTCCCATGAACATATATAGAAACAAATATTTGCAAGTGTGATTATTTTCGGTGTTATTGTTTATCCAGCAAGACGAGAGGTCCAATCTGTGTATGCTGTGTATGCATATCGACGCCGTGCCCAATTATTACAACAAAAAACCACAAAATCCAAACATTTCGATATGCCAATACCAAGGTCATATATCATATACACAGAACACAAGTATAAATCATGAATAAACGACAAAATTTCATGGATAATCATTCTACAGCTGTTTCGCACTCAATGGACAGCCCACATACATACGATGTAACGTACGATCACAATGTAACGTGACTTGCCTATTCGGTTCTAGGCTTATATCCATGGAACGAGCAAAACTTACACAGTAGCAATTCACGTGTAATGTTAGGTAAGATAATATGCCACGCTCACAATTTTCTTGACCAATATGGGACGCGAACACTGCACACGTCAGTCACACGCGAAATATAGCATGTGCAATGGCATAATTTGGGACAGACTGAGCTTCCACCTAACTTTTGTGCTATTCTGGAACCCAATATAATTGGTAAATCTACACAGAAGATTTAGATCCGCCCACCCCGTACGTGTGGACGCAGACCGATGACTCTGTGAGGTATGTTTCCTTATGTCAATATTAGTTGGATTATTATCATATGCCTGATAAGTACTTCGGTCGATGGCAATTCATAGTTTTGTGAGCCGTGTGTGTTTGATTAAAGCGCAATGGGCTGGCGGCTGGACGAGAGCCACCCAAATATGCCCTACTGTATCAGCCCATGGTATTGACGCGGTAGTGAATGTTGGGTGTCGTCAGGAAAGGTAACAAGGAAGCGTGCATATTTTGATGTAAGCGCTAAAATTCTCTTGCGCAGTACCCACGAATGGGTATCGTCCCTGGGAATATCCGACAATTTTCAAACCGATAACTCCTGTGTATATGTACGGATACTTGTAGTAGTTTGTCAATCTGCTCGGATCTGGCGCAGCCTAACACTGCACCACGTGTCTGCCTACAGTACATAGTTCTACTGTTTACCCATTCTCGTGCTTGTCCTGAACGCATCGACACGTTCTTATAACTCTCATACCTCAGTCCAGTCATCTTCCGATAAATGTACTCTGTATATGCGTTTTACGTATCCTTGTTGCACTTTGTGGATAAAGAATATCCTGAATCGTTGCCTCTCTCCGACAATATACCAGCTTTCTTCTCTGGGTACTCGTATACATCACCTAAGAGGACACACGTGCTACCTCCACGTACGTATGTCTACTGTTTGCGCGAGTAGCACTTGTTGCCAGTTTGTTATAATCGTTCAACCAAACTTTATTCCGTTTTCAATTGCCCTACAGTCTGAGCTTCAAGGTCCCAGAGGGTACACAAACTACACAAATAAACGTTGACATCAAATCCAAAGCGATAATTGCCAGCATTGGCGGGGACTTTCTACCGGGCTTTGGTTCGTGCTCGCCTGCGCAGCCGAACTTGGCATAAACACTTGTTTGTAACCGTAACTTTTACTGTATTCGTGTAACATTCTTTCTTCTTTAGTTTTGTGCTTTTTTAACAAAATTATGTTTGCTTATGCATGTCTGTTGAAATCACACCGTTCCTGACCCCACATCTTAGAGTGGTCGTTGGTCGTTCTTTGCCTGTTGATATCGAGTAATGTATATCTGCCTATGGCCTTCTCACTTTTTAGCCATAGGCGAAGTGGTTAGTTTGCAGGCACATAGCCGTACACGCGCCCATTCTCACACGATATTACCATTGTATACGTTGCATCAAATAGAGTAAAGTAATACATTAACACAGTTGGTACGCACCGCACCACACCGCACGAAACCATGCAGGCGATATGTACGCGCCAGTCGACGTGGATTCATGCGTGTGGACAAGAGAAGGAAATGTAGTAGACGTTCATCTGGAAAAAGCCCAGCACACAGGCAATAGGTATGGGATATATCTCGTGTCACAACCAACACATGTGACAGTCTTTTAATTGATGTCAGGTAGCGGTGTATCGTTGCCGTAGTTTTGGTATATGCTATGGTCGACAGGACAGCAATCAGTCTCCTCCCGTAGCCATTTTTTATAATTGTACACCCTGTCCTCACACCAAGGTCTGATACGCATACCGATAAATACTTAATTTTTGTTGTTTACCCATTATGTCGCCTATGTCACTATCATTCGTAAGAAATTCCTCAGAATGTGGCCGAGATACAATTCGAGTAGACTCTGGGGTGTCCTTGTCGTCGTCCATATTCTAATAGCCCTTTCTTCGAATTCCGTTGGTGATTGTGAATGTTTTCAAAGTATTAACTGATTCTCAACGGCAATGGCTATATGACCTGCCTCTGTTTCAACTACAGGATCCAAACTCATCATCGTAAGTCGACTTTAACGCAAAGGCTATGCTTATCAATTATTGTAGACACTGAACAGTCCACTATGGATCTCGTCAAATCTGTCTGTAGAAACATGAGGTCTTCTAAATCCAGGACTGATATACACCCGAACATTATATTTTGTGTTAATTTAAGCGCTAGCACATTGTGTGCATGCCATCGTTGTCACGTCACGGCACCGTTGATAGGGCGGATGTGCGTTTAATTGCAGATACACATGTATTATGTAGTCACTACCAGATGGGCGTATGGTATCTATTTACACATGTACATGTACTATATAAAAATTTCCAGATGGGTGTATGTCTTTGAAGACGATCAGACCGCCGAGACTATGGACCCCTCCAAAATGAGAGGGATGCTTGACGCCATGGAGAAATACATGCAGCAGACTAAAACTCCAGTGAGTGGAGCCTGATGTGTGCTGTGCATAGTCTTGCTAAATCACGGTACCATTGTTATTGAAATACATCCATGACTTTTCTCGTATCAAGTAATTATCTTTTAAAGACTGTTGTTTTGATTGTGGATCGGATTATGCTTTGATGTCTCTTGACGCCTCGGCACATGGGCCGAACATGTAAGGAGATTCATCGGTAGCTGATTTTAAGTCATCGCCTTGTCCGTCACTGTCTCCTAGAATGGTTGTCAACGGTATAAAGTATTTACTCACAGTAGAGTGTGTCATCAGAAACCATCCCTGAAAATGCTTTGTTGGACATTTAGCCTAAATCCTATACTTTGCGCCATTTCCCATTACTAACCATATCGAAAATAATTTTATCGGCTGGTAAAGTTTTGTATGATGGCTTTAGACCTAATTTTGGCTATCTTTCCAACTCTAACAGTCACAATTGTCTCGATAGAATGCGATTTATCTATCGTACAAGGACGATACTATCACTTAACAGAATAGCCGGCTACTCCCGAGCATCATTTGTATGGCATGCCAAACCGCTACTATATGCAATTTCAAAAACATAAGCTAATCGTATTGTTTAGTGCGTGTGAAATCATTCACATTGCTGTGATGTGATGGTGGTTTTTGCGTGCTGAGGCTCAGACAATGCTTACGATGAGATACCCAAGCAAACAATGTATGACACACTGGAAGTGATCAAAGCGTATATTTCTTTATCTGCTTGTATATGGTGAATGTACATGGCACTTACAAGTCGCTTATCTATCGATGTATGTTGAATGCACGCGGTACACGCAGGGAATGGGAGGCGGCCTTGAGCGGGTGGCTGGTCTGGATCAAATGGAAGAGGTGGACTTTGATGACGGGCCAATTCTCAGTGTGTACAAGTACACCATCGCCGAGTCAACCCCCACAATCACGATTTCACCACAGTAAGTACGCGTTAATTTTTGCTTTGAATGAGAGTATGTATACAGATGGTATATGCTGATATTCGTTTATCATTTATGCCGCCTATACCGAAGCACAGTGTTACGCATAAACCCTGGGTGTTCTATTGTGAGCTCCTGATGTACTCCTGGTAAGCCTGTACTGCATTACTTGGCAGTCCGGGTTGGGATGTGTGTATGCACGAGCCATAGCTCTGTGATATTTATCAGCAGTACCATGTCTCATTCAACCGTTTTGTGTTTACGCTGTTGTCCTTGCTGTCGGTGCCTCGCAGGCCTTCAATCGCCGTCTCTGGGATGTTAATCATGATGCCTGTTTTGATGATCTTCTAAGCCTATGTATCACGTGTGCATGTTTAGTGCGACGCTCAAGTATTGTCTACTGCTTTGTATTTCAAATTACTCGATGAAGGCCCTGTTCCAGGTAGGAGTCGTTTCGATCGACCTGATACTATTCCCCGTCCATTCGTTGCCCCATAATCCATCTCCAATTCAGCTGCATTCGGATGCGAGGAGCACATATTCTGTCCACTTACATACTATCCACCCCCCTCCCCACGTCACAGACCAACCAGCACAACGGCACTGGGTGGTAGTCAATGGCAATTCCCAGTGCTTCCCATCGAGCCTTCGTATCGTCCCGCGTTTGCACTGAAGACTAATGTAGATATCGCCATTTTCACTCAAGAGAAAGGTGAGCTCGCCTGACAATAGCTATATCAGCAATGTGTATTCATGCATCAGTCTATTCACGCGCGAATCCTCTTCGGTTGTGGTCACATTTCTAGTTGCCACCCATACTATTTAGTCACACTATATAGCAACTCATTGCTACGATCCATCTGCCGCAATACTCAACTGTACGTATTGTACGTCAACCTGCCTGCCGCCGTCTGTGATTTTGGAGCGAATGTTGTCGTAATGCTTTCGTTGCGCTGGTACTGAGTCTGTGTTCTTGCTTATTAAATACGAGCGTTGCTGGTTCAGACCGTCGGTGCCATCTGTCAATCCTATGGTTCGTATTACTTCTGAACTTTAAAGAGAGATTGGAGTTTTGAACAGGGTATGCCGTTCTCTTGCCGTTTTGTCAATATTAAGAATATTGCAAATATTTCCGTAGGTGGATTTTGAGACAAGGGTAGAAGTACTTCATTCAGTGTGTGGGTGTGTTACTGTATATCAAACTGAGATCTTATGCACAGAGACCGTGACACTAAACTTGTTGACACTGACACCCTCCCACAGATGTAAACTCTACACCATTCTCGCATACCGTTACTTTCGATGCATTGGCTTACGTTTTGGCGTCCAAACGGAATCTCAAACTTAAGTCTGTGCCCACGGATACTTCTTACGCCGCTGCTTGCGACTGCTTCAGGTAGGACTGTTCTCGCTGATTGCGCCGATTGCACGCAAGATCATGACAAATAGTTGGTTGTCTAGCAATAACTGAGGTTAGCTGAACGTACATTCGTACATCATTGGGATCTGATCATGTGTCTTCGTTGTGTGTGTGATGTAGACAATCCTTCTCCCCAGAAATCTTTTCTCTCTCGGGATGTATAGGCGTGGACAACCTTGTCGTCCACTATTGGACTTTTTTTGGCCACCTCATCGAACAGTGACCTGTGTGATCGCAAAACGTCAGTACTGCCGAGCATTTTACCAATCAACCTACGCACATCGATGAATCATCTTTTTCGTTATTATACAATACCAATTGAACGTCCCTGCGATACATCAACGTTCAGCCTCGCTTCATGCATACATTCAGCACTATTTGCTTTTGTTTGAACAATATTATCCAAATCTTCGACACAGTGAACTACCAGCGATCGGCATCATACTTGTACTAACCACAATGTATCGTATCTTTGCTTTTTGGATACATTTATATATATATATATATATACCATAATCTACTCTGCGGCCGGGATGGATCGAGCAGTCAAGTGTACATATACAATAAACCATCAGAACCTGGAGGCACCAAAGCAGATCAATCTATATTCACATTGCCCACCACTGATCGGATTGTGGGGCTACAAGCGCTGCCGAAAGCGATAGTTGTACTGACTGATAAAGCAATATATATACAATGGCTGTAGAAATAAATATAAATTATAACTTTGAATGAAATGTGCCGCTGTAATATAGAGCGTAATTGCGGATGCGCTAATTCTCAGTTTACGCTACCAGCTGAAGTTGAAATTCATTTTGTGCTCGTGTGAACATGGCATCGACTGGTCTATCATATATTGTATATGCTAGAGAAATAAATTGATGTTGGCAATGTGTGTTGTCAGCGCTAACAATTTTTTTTTAGCCGCAATTCTAAATAGCTTTGTTCTATGGCATGCTGTCATAAGCGCGTGACTAACGAGAGCTGAATACATTTTACTGAATTGGAGAATATTCGAATGGGAGACTTAATGCACCATGTTTCGTAGAGATTCAAATTTCACCACAAGCAGGAAAAATCAAACCACCGGGTTCATTGATTATCGCAGAATTGAGTCCAGTGTACCCTGTGCATCGTGATATGCAATTCATAAGCGTACATAAAATGAGGGTTTAGTGATATACAGTAGCAATTGCATGCACGACAAATATCTAAAAACCGTAGAAATCTGCACTACCACCGTGGAAAGATTAGCTACTGCCGGCAGCAGTATGTTGAATACATAAAGTGTACCCACGTGCACAGGTGTACATGAGGGCCAGTCTATATTAGCAACGCAAAAATGCGTCTTCAACGATGGAAATATGATGCTTATCTATTTTTTAAGCGTAGTTACGTTTCGTTCAACGTTAATAAGCTCAGAAAGGTGTTTGTTTTGACATCGTAATCCATTTCGCTTATTTGTGGCCGGATGCGTGATCGTGGCTTTGACGATACAAGCGGAAAACTACTTTATACAGCGGTTAGGATTCGCTTGCAAACATCAACAGATCATCTACTCATCTACTGTATAGTCTGTAGTTAGAGATTCTTCGCAGGTCAGCTTTTGGATGCTATTACGTACATGACATTGTCAGGCACAATGAGTCAACGATGAGTCATCAGTTTGGAATAAAAGAAAAACATAATATATTTGTAAATAAAAGTATAGCGTAACACCGAAAATAGCCTCACCGTAGTGTTCACATAGCAACCACAACGAGCAAGTTGTATATATTATGCGTGTATATTAGCTAGTCAAATTCTAGGAATAACGGTGGTATGTGGATCCATCCGTCACAATAGTACTTATCTCATAGCACTTGGAAGTAGCAGTGGCGGTTCCGCCATCAGATTGAACAACTCAGTTAGCAGACACAATACTGTAAATATGTCGTCATCTTTTGCGTTGAAGAGCCGAGGGCGTTCGGCAGAAAGTGCTATCTCGTCTCCCTCTCAGCATGACAAAGTCTTTCTCTTCCATGATATAACCCCAGAGGACACATTGCCGGGAATAGCCCTAAAGTTCAGAGTCACGGTATGTTAGTATTTAAACGGTAGTCGCATTGCTACAAGTATGCAGATTTCATACAATATAATTACCTAGATATATATATATATATATACTATATATGTATATATGTAT